TAAATTCTTGCCCAGGTGTAACTGCTTATTCCTCACATTGGTTTCCTGCAAGAAAAAAAAGATGGTACCACAGATCCAGCCAGCACATCTGTAGGAAAAAGGGAAAAGAATCTTCTTGTGTCTTCTTTTATGTGAGCAAACCTTCCCCTGAAGTCTCTCAGCTTGCTTTCCTTCCTGTATTATTGGCTGGAACTGAATCACGTGCCAATCACTAGACAGAAAGCAGCAACTAGCCTAAACAAGCAAATGGCCAAGTGGAAGAAGGAAATTATCCCAGTCTTTCATGAGAAAGAAAGATGGGAGAATCCATATTGCCTAGGCCACTAGAAGCATCTGCTGTGGTTCCTCCCCCAGATGTCTATCTTCCACCCTCAAAGATGTCTACAAGAATGGCTGTCTCACTTGCAGTGCTATGAAGATCACTTTTCTAAGCATCTATGGGATGCACCTGTCTCCACTGCAGAGACCTGGCATCTTGATGAAGATGTCCTGGGTGGCTCCATGGGCCTGGAGGATGCTGCTGAACTCCCCTGTGGCCAGCTTCAAGGCACCCCCTGCCCAACATGGAAACAGCCACTTCCTTATCCTCTGTGGTTTCTATTGCTGGCTCCTGGTGACCTCAGACTTTCAGAGTGAGGTCCAGGCATGGATAGGGCATCTGGAGAGCAGGGCCCCAAGCAATGCAGTAATGGTGCCAGGGAGGTATATTTGGCTCGTTTACCTTTCAAGTAAGCCCATCTGTGACTTCTGTCTGCCTCTCCCTCCCTCCCTCCGTCTCTCTCTTATGTAGTAATGGAGATTGAATCCAAGACCTTCTTCTCTTTGAGCTATATCTTCAAGGTTTTTTTTTTTTTTTTTGGTTGGTTTAATCTTTGTTTCATTTCAAAACAAGCTCTTGCTAAGCTGCCCAAATTGTTTAAAACTAGTGATTCTTTTGGGTCAGTCTCTAGATGTTGGGATTCTAAGCATGTACCACTCCAGGCTGTGATTCGGCTTTTAAAGTTTTTCATGACCCTGTTGGTGCCCGATAAGGGCCTGATCTCTGGTACCTCACTGTCTCTCCAACCACAGTAAACTTACAGCCAGACTACTCCACCCCAGTCTTTGTATGCAGTATTTTCTTCTTGGGACACTGCCACCACTGCATCTGGCCAAACTGCTAGTAGTACCATGTGCCCTTTCCTAGGTAGTGCTGACATGGAGGTCTCTGAACAATGTCCTCCTGAATACTGGAGGAGAAACTAGGGTGTCCACAGGGTTAGGGTAAGTGAATGAGCTTAGACTGTCTTGAGCAAGGCCTCAGCACAGTGAAGACCACTAGTGTCTCTTTTTATTCCCCTTGTTGTCATCCAACTGACTCTGGCATAGTCCTCTAGGATCCAAGGTCAGGAAGCATGTCAGTGGTTTCTCTTCATCAACAAGCCACACAACATACATATGCAAATGTTTGGGGACCCTCTAAGGTGACTTGGACACATAGCCTATGACACAGAAGCCAGCAATGATAACCCTTCAGTGCTGGTCCTAATCTCATGCAAGGGAAACTCATGAAGGGTGATCATCTTTGTCACCTGTGGCCAGAAAGAGGAACTGAAATGAACTAGATTAATCCTAGTATCATTTGGGCCAAGCTTTCCCTGATTTCTGTGGTCAACAGCCTGAGGAGAGGCCACAGGGCAGGCTCAAGGAACCTGTGGTCTTGTCCTACAGCCTGGCCACACAGCTGGGTTCTCAGCAATGCCCAGGGTTTCCTTATGGCTGGATAGCTCTGCCTTCCACACCATAGAGGCTGTTCAGTGTGGAAGACATCTGGATTCCCAGGGGAAGGTAGATGTAGTACCGGCATCCATGACTGTCCTGAGGATCAGACCCTCAATACTACCTGGTCCTGAGGAGCCCTTGTCCTGAAGCCCTAGCTGCACCTCCCCTTCTTTCCCCAAACCTGAACCCCACTTTAATCCCTCTCTGTGCAGCTTTCTGCTACTTCCAGGCAGTCAGCTCCTTGCATCCCAGGCCTAGAACTGAGAGAAGGTCCAGGATAGCCGGGGTAGGGAAAAGACAGGAAGAATTAGATATCCAGTCCAAAGGGCCACAGGACCATGGTCCAGCCCTCTTGAGCTTAGGTCTTATGTGTTCACATGTACCTAGATTCTGGAAGGAGATCAGTATAGACACCACATATTACCTAATTATGTATGGAAGAGGAAACAGCCCACCAACAGTCACTTTATCAATACCTAAGAACTTTTAGTGATGCTGCCTGGATTTGACCAAGTTGTCTTAGCAAAGAGTCATTCAATGCTTCCTTCTATTTTTGCTGTGCAGCTCAGTAAATATCCTCTTAAAGAAACCTACAAGAAACATTTCTGAAATGTTTAGCATCAGTGACACTTCAGCAGGTGGGAATATGGAAGCAACCTCTATTTGACTCTTCCCAAGGATTGGGAATGCAGCTCAGTGGCTTCCATCACCATACAGCAAGGAAGCATACACTTGGAAGCTGAGCCAGGATTGTCACAAGTTTGAGGCCAGCCTGGGCTACAAAATGAGTTCAAGGCCAGCTGGAACTATTTGGTGAGACCCTGTCTGGGAGGGAAAAAATGCTTCTAATCCCAGGACTTGGGAGGCTAAGGCAGGAGCACTGCCATATGTTCAAGACCAATCTGAAACAACAGTAAGATTTTCTTAAAAAAAGAAAACATCAAACAATTAAAATTCCCTTAGAAACTACATCCCTGGGGCTGGGGATTTAGCTCAGCAACATAACAGCCTGCCTTGCAAGCGTGCAGTTGTGAGTTCAATCCCTGGTACCAATTAAAAAAAAGAAAGAAAGAAACATATCCCTTCAAAAAAAAAGTTATTAAGAAACATCCAGAAAATAAAGCTCTTGGAAACAAAAGATGCTTTGAAAGTTAGTAAGAGTTTACACAAGGAACTGAGCCTCTGTCATAAAACCAACCCTTCAAGTGCCAGCTCAATTAGTGGAGAGGCCATGTAAACCAAACTAAAGACTCCAAAAGCTTCCAGAAACTGAACTTAACAGAAAATTGCAAGGGTGTAATACCTCGAAAATTCAGAGGAAAAGGTTATCCAACCTACCACTTCAATAACCAGACCAACTATCAAGTCCACCTAGCTTACAAACATTTTTAGCACTCAAAGTCACACAAAACTTATTTCCAGTGTACTCTCAGGACAGTAAAGGAAACCTGCTACCAAAGGAAGACTGTAATCCAGGAGAACATATGAAACCCTTAAGACAGGGTATTACTGCAGGAGAGAGGTCACATCTCTGCAAGACACTAGCAGACTTCAGGAAAAAAGAAATACACGCACAAAACCAGAATAAATGATATCTGTGTGAAAAGTTGTGCTCAAGGTCTATCAGAGTTAGGTGGAGGAAGACAGACTCTAATCACAGTGAGGGCACACAGCTGTAGTCCCATCACTGAAAGGGGCTGAGACAGAAAGGTAAATTTGAGTTCCAACCTAGGGAAATATTTCAGCAGCACAGTACCTGCCTAGCAAATGTCTAGTACCAAAAAATGATAATGTCTGAGTCTCATCTGGACAACTCAAGAAAGACCCTGTTTCAAAATTCTAAAAATAAAGGCCGACTGAGGGTGTAACTCAGTGGTAGTATCTCAGAGTTCTATTTGTAGTACAAAAAAAAAAGGGGGGGAGCAAGAGAGGGGGAGGAAAAAGGGGGGAATAAAGGGAGGCGAGGAGAAAGAAGCCAAATAACCAGCACTGGGCATGTAGTTCCACCTAGCATGTTGATGACATGAGTTTGATACCCAGTACTACAAAATAAAGACAAAAAAGCAATTAAAAAATATCTTATTGAACCCAAGAAAAATGAGCTGTACTTTAAAAATGAAATGAAGACCCAAAATACCATGTAGCTCAGCACTAAACAAAATCACATGTGACAGTGAACATCAATTGGCAAATTACATCACCAGGCTTAACAGTATTTAAGAAATGCATATAAATGTACAAGGAATTAAAATCCATTAAATGATTTAAATGTGGCTGGCTTTACAAAATGGGATGGGCTGTGAAGACATAGAATGTGTTCAGCCTAATTGGGAACCATTTGGTTATGTTCAGAAAAAATTTTGATAAAGCTAAAAAATTATTATAAACTGACTACAGCCTACCAAGATTTTTTTTTTCCTTTTTATCGGTACTGGGGATCAAACTCACGACTGCCTGCTTGCAAGGCAGGCGCTTATGCCGCTGAGCTAAATCCCCAGCCCCCTACCAAGATTTTTTAGTATTTTTTTGTCTCTTTTTTTTGAGATGGGTTCTTGCTATGCAGTTCAGGATGGCCTTGAGCTCACTTTGTAGCCCAGACTGGTCTCGAACTCGCAAGGATCTTCCCACCTCAGCCTCCCGAGTGAGCCACCACACCCGGCTGGGTTTGCCAAGATTTAAAGCTTACCAAAATCTGAGTTGAAAGGCTCATTAGATACAGAAGAGTGGTCAGCAGTCCTGTCAGAGGAGTCTAAGCTGCAGTTACTCTCCTGGTTCATCTGCACTCCCTGTCCTGGGTCTTTACTCATTCTGGGATTCCCAATCCCACCCACCACTCCACAGATGAACAAAGATCCTTAGCCTTCCTTCCTTCTCTTAGGCCAAACAGAAAGAGCAATGGGCATGAGTCCTCTTCTTGCTCCAAAACTCCCTCGTCCCCAACCCTGCTGCACCAATGGGTCCTAAGCACTGGCCAGCTTTCTCATCCCAGCTACTAGGACCACACCCACTCTAGCTGTCCATTATCTGCTGCTTCCTGCACAGCCTCAGATAAGGTCCGGAGTACCCATGAGGGTGGCAACATCAAAGGGCTAGCTCCCTGGCTCATGACCCATAAATACTACTAGAGTTCTGGAAAGTGGCAGCCAGGTGCCCATCTCAGGTCTAACCTCCTAGAGCTTGGAAGCCCTTTGTCACTTTACAAGAGATCAGTCATAAGAAGAACAAAAGCCCCACACCGATAGTTTTTGATCAAGCTTTTAATGAAAAGATCATAAAATAACAGTTTCTCATCACTGTACATTAAGACTGCACGCTTCTGAATGGAGAGATCAGTCATCAATGAGTCACTTTTCTATGACACTGGAGGGCTGCATACCTGCAGCTCTGACCTGAATTTATCCAAATTCTCAAGGGAGGTGAACTCAGTATGATGAGTGACAAATGGCAGTGGCCAGTACAGGAGTGCGATCCCAGTGTCCCTCCCACTCTGGGAAAGGCATAGTAAGACATGATCCCTCTTCCAGTTCCAATGAAACGAAAGTTATAACCCCATCCCTTCCCCTCCCCCTCGAGGTATTTGCAAGTGGGCCAGTGCCCAACCAGGGGCCCCCAGAGGGGCAGGGGGAAACAAGTGATGAGTAAGGTACAGAGAGGCTCCCCTCAGCACCTGGCCCCACGGGGCCCTGCCAAGTGGAGGGGGGGAGCCCCGGGGAACCTCCCTGTCCCAAGTGAGGTCTGTTATGCAGCATGTTTGAGGTCAATAAATTACAGCAATAAATAGCAAGGTGAGGTAGGGGGAGGGGTTCCTGGTAGAAAATTAAAGAGGGTGACTGAAGCTGGGGGCATCCTAGGAAGGGGGTCCTGGGCAGCCTCAATTCACTCAACTCCCACCCATCCCTGGTTTGGAATGTCAGACCGAGGTTCTGGTCAGGTCCCTCTCCATTCCCTCATTCATGGCATCCGATTCACAGGTTCAGTACATAACATCAGCCCCAACATGACTTGGGGGAAGAGCAGGACCTTGGTCCCTTACAGGGGGCATGGCAAAGCTGAGGACTCCTGTCTGCTCTTCTCAGATTGGCGCCTTTTTTGTTCCCCAAGTCTGAGGACCCAACGGATGCTGCGCCAGCTCACTGGGCCCCGCCTTCTTGGCTGCCCAGGCTTCCCCTTCCTCATAATAGCCACAGGAGAACAAGAATCTGCCTGCCCACCAGCCCAGTTAGATCGCACTCCTGCACAGCGGCCTGAGGTCCAGTGAATACTGATGGTGTGGGGCAGTGGGCCAGTGGCCCAGCTTTCCCCAGTGGTGATGGACGGGAAACATCCCCCCCAACTCAGTGAGTTCTGGAGAGTCAGTCTGGGTCCAGATTGTTCATTTCACAGGTTGTGGTATATGGCTATGCTGCAAGTCTCTGAGATTCTTATTTGCTTAAAGGTTCATCTTTTTTTCCTTTTTTGCAATCCTGGATGAGCCCTTGCCATGGCTCAGTCAGGCGGCAGTGGGTAGTGGCAGAGCCAGGCCTGCCACACACAGCTCACTCGCCCCAAATCTGAGAAATAAATACATTCATCACTGCACAAACATATTGATACAAAAAACAACACTGTTAAGAGTGTTTGCACCGTCTATGTTGGTAAGGACCAGGCCCAGCTCGTTCTGCTGCCTGGGGTGGGAACCCACTGAGTTGACTTGAGCTGTGCAAAGGTCCTGGCTTTTTGGCTTAAGTGAGACCCTTACATCAACTCACCCCATAGAGTCACAGGCAGAGGAGCAAGGGGAGCTCACTTCCACCCTGAGGCCCAAGTCCAGACTCAGGTCCTGTGGCCAGAGCTGACAGCCATTCTATGCCAACTAGTCAGGACCACAGAGGTCCAGCTAGGAGGCCACAAGGCTGATCAGCACCAGTCCAAGCTCTTTGGTGCCAGCTGGGCTTTGGAGAGGTCCCAGGAATGGGGAGGAGGGCTCTGGTGAGTCCAGGGAGGCTTGCAGCCTGTTCCTGCCAGGACTACCTCTCTGCCCATGACACTAATGGGCCAACTCAGAAGGACACCCCAGGAGGTGACGATTACCTGGGACTGACCTTACAGCTGCTGAGGTCTGAAACTGTAGAAGTTTATGTAAACAATGAGAAAAATATATTAGTATCTTTTTTTCTGAGCCCATTGAGGTTCCATACTCATTCAAAATGTGCTTTGGTTTAAAAAATAGGGTTTTGTGAATTTGGGTATGAGCTTTCTTTTTTTCCCCCTTTTTTTTTTTTTTCTTTTGTTTTTATCTTCTTTCCTATATGAGATCTGCTATTCTGTTTCCTGTTTCTCCGAAACATTCAGGAATTAAGTGACTAAAGCAGAGAACTGTAAGCCGCCTTGGCCTCCTACGGCCTAACTTCCTTGTGAGGCTTTTAACATCTGTACACACATACTCTCAAGCACACACCAAACATGGAGTTGAAGGAAAAAGAAAACAGAACCAAATGTTGTGTCAACCCCGCCCCACCCCGTAAACCCTTAAAATCTTAAATAGGAAACTAGTGTTTTGCTTTCTCATTAAAATACAGAAAAGGCTTGATACAATACTAAGGTGGGTACAATACTATGTCACACAGACGTCGTTGAGTGAGGGGGCTTTGCTCCCAGTCCCTGAAGTTCTGCAGAGGAATCACCTCACAGATGTGGCTGCCCACGGCCCAGGAGGCCATGCGTGAGGCCAGGCATGTACACAATTCCCGTGCGGTACAGACTTTGTGTCGTGTGGCTTAAGTGCTGATGGGTGGGGTGGGGTGGGGTCAGAGAGCAGGAGGCCTGGTACAGCCCTGCCCCCTCACTGGGTGGGAAGGAGCCCAGGAGTCTCCTCTGCTAGGTGCTCAGCCCGACTGGTTGGAACAGAGACCCAGGGTTCAGTTCTTCGTCCCCCACCCAAAGGGAGAGGGGCCAGCTGAGGGTACCACATGGAAGCCTCAGCCAGGAGCCCTCATGTCGCCAGGGCACCCTCACTCCCAAGAACACACCATTCACCAGTTCCCTGAACTCAGGCTGTTTTCAGCTGGACGGTCTTTGGAGGGCTGAGGGTAGGGGATGACTCTGGAATTTTTTGGTCTGAACTTAAAAGCAAAAGGATAAAAGAAAAGCATGAAACAGAATGAAGAGGATAAAGCCTGCTGGCTCAGTGCTGTGGCTCTAGTTGGTCAAGGACACTGGGACTGAGCATGGCAATATTGGTCTGGCCTGGAGCCCATGGAGTACTGAAGCTGACTGAGAAGGCCATGGTTAAGGGGCAACAGTGGGACCCCAGATAAAACTGAGCCCATAAGTGGTGACCAGCCTCTTACCAGAGTGGCTGGAGGCCAGGACTGCCCAGAGGTGCCAATCCTTATATTCCTCATGCTTTGGTCAGTTCCTTCTGACACCTCACCAGCCAGATCAAGGCTGCAGCTCTTGGCTCAAGGTGAGGAGACAGGATGGGAGGGGGCTCACTTCCACCTCATCCTGGCCCTGGCAGGAAGCTGAGACCTGTTCCCTCCTCCCAGCTCTTCTTGCTCAGACACTCTGTACCTGCCCCAGACCAGGGACTTTCAACTCTCACCCAGGTTCAGTGAGCAGTGGGTGCCCTGAGGACAGCGTTCAACCCAGGAGGGTGCTCGGGCCAGCCCGAGCCCGGCTCACTCCCCCCAGAGGAAAACAAAAGCATCTAGGTCTCAACTGCCCATCACCAACATACTGTTTCCATGAATTCAAGAGGTAGCAAAAGGTCAGAAGTCTCTCCACCTTATTCAGTGAGGAAGGAAAGCGAAACATCTGTCCATACGCACAGCACACACAACACACTTACCCACACACACAGAAATGAAAAATGTGAGTACCGACGATCCTGGCATTAAGTCCAGCCTCCCCCATCTCCCCAGACCTTCCAGTTCCAACAGTCCTACAAATGTTACATGGGGCTTTCTCAATTTAAAAAAAAAAAAAAAAAAAACAAGTACCTCTAGACAAAGAATATTCCTCAGAAACTACAGGAAAAGCACACTCCTGAGGTGGCCCAGGCAAGGCTGGGAACCACGGAAGCCTTTGGGCAAGAAGGGCTTGTGGGCCTGAAGAGGTGGGCTTACTGCTGCATCCCATAGCACCTGCCAGAGCTGGGGGGATAATAGGGAGAGGCAGCTGCCCCGGTTACATTCAGTCTGCAGACCCAGGCTCAGCCCCAAAGAGGCAAGAAGAAAATAAACTATTGTTTGTTTTGGTTTAAAAAACAATTTAAAGTTCAAAAAGGAAAACAAAACAAAACAAAACAACAGAACAACAAAAAGGAACAGATCAGTAGGAATAACAGCAACACAGGCCCAGAGGGCTCTTTAGTTGTAGAGGTAGGCGGTGGGGTCACCCTGACTGTCCCAGCGCCAGTGAGCAATGCCACCCTGGCTCAAGGAGGGAAGGAGCTGTCCCCTTAACACCTGCTCCTCTCAGAGCTAGGGTTGCACACACCCACGCACAGACACAAGCACACGTGCACACACACAGACACGGTCCCTGCCGGGTAGAGCTCTGCTCCAGATACCACCCCTGGCCACAGGCAGCCCTGTCCCTCACCAGCATGGAGGGGGCACCCCACACACACTTCCCCTTCTCCAACCCAGCCTGCAGGAAAGGGACCAGGTCTCAATGAGACCCATGTGACCCACTCCCACGAGCTCCGTGGCAGCCCCTGCAAGGAGCTGGGACCCTGGGAGACAGGGAGGTAGAATGGTCACCAGCACCACATGCATAGGGGTGGGTCCTCCAGCTTCTCTCCTCTTGGCTTCTCTTGGTACAGACTGTTGATTAAAGCTCTGAGTGTGGGGAGGCTGGGCTAGAGGGGCCACCAAGAGCCTAGAGCTGGACCTTGGGCTCTGGTCCCTTCTGCCATGCCACCTTGCTTCTCTTTCAGTGGGTTCCCAGGTGGTAAGTCTGAGAGGGTGCCCACGGGTCTTTGGCTTCTAGGAGGGGGAGGTGTGCATGCGCAGGTGGCTGATCAGATTGCGCTGCTGGGTGAACTTGCCCCCGCAGAGCTGGCACTCATAAGGCTTCTCGCCTGAGTGTACACGCATGTGCTCAGTGAGGCGGTACTGGCGGGTGAAGCGCATGCCACATTCATCACAGGCAAAGGGCTTCAGGCCCAGGTGGCTCCGCATGTGGCGCGTCATAGTGCCACGCTGTGTGAACATCTTGCCACAGATGTTGCAGGGAAAGGGCCGCGTCAGCCAGTGTGTCTTCTCGTGCTGGCGCAGAGTGGCTGGGTCCTTGTAGGTCTTCTCACAGACCGAGCACTTGAAGGGCCGGGCCTCTGCTGCATATGTTGTGCTGGGCGCTGACAAGTCCTCAGCCTCTTCCTCAGCACCCCCACTTCCTGTTTCATAGGCTCCCTCCTCCTTAATGAACAGCTCCTCTTCTGTGTGCGTCTCCACGTGGGCATTGAGCTGCTCAGAGCTGGGAAAACCTTTGGCGCAGGGGATGCACACATACAAGTTGTCACCATAAGACACTGTCTCATAGCCCTCCTGCCGATACATGTAGTGGGCACCAGCATGGCCACTGCCACCCTCACTCCCACTTTGCCCACTGTCCTCACTCCCGTCCTTGCCGTTTTCCTCCTCTTCTTTGCAGGGATAAGGTGGCTCACCATAGGGCACACTAGGGCCACCCCCACCAACACTGCCAGCCAAGATGCCATTGGGAACCCTGTCCCCAAGGCCCTCACCCTCCTCTCCAGAGCAGGGGCCCTTGGGCCCAGCTTCTCTTCGCTCAAATGGGGAGCCAGCGGTGGGCTCCTTCTTGCTCCATTCCTTCTTTCGGCCTGAGTGCCGGAGGGTCTTCCGAGGCTGTCCACCTGGTCCTTCCAGCAGGCCCAAGTGGTTGTCTTCGGCTCCATCCAAATCCATAGACTCATCAGGGGTGCCACCCAGCTCAGTATAAGAGGCACTGTTGGCAACAGGCAGGGCAGAGGACGAGGGAGGTGAGCCATGCTGGCTATCACTCATCTGGGCTGGGTCATCGGGGGTGAGGTGGGGGCCAGAGGTGGTGGTTGGCAGAGGTGGGCTCTTCTTGGATAGGTCCAGGCCCAGTTCCTGCTCACAGCCCCCACTGCTCCCATTGGTACTGCTGCCACAGCCCCCTAGGCCCACATCCCCACTTGCTGGACAGAGTCCCCGGCCCAGGCTGTGGGTGCTCTCCTGAGTGGAACCACCAAGGAAGAGCTCATCATCTGAGCCTTTGGCTGGGGGAAGCTCTTGGGGTGCATGGGCTCCCTTACGTCCATCCACGAGCCCTGGATACCGAGCCTGGATGACAGAGGTTGTGGACAGTCGCTGGCTGCGGGGCGGGCGCCCCATGCTGGTGGCTCCTACCCGTCCAGAACCAAAGGGCTTACCAGCCCGCTTGAGTTTGCGACGGCAGAGGGCTGCCAACTCAGGCAGCTGGAGGTAGCTGGCGGCAGTGAGGAGAGTGCTGAAGTTGGGCTCAGTAGGCTGGTCGCTAGGCAGCAGCTTGCCCGTGTAGATGAAGTCCAAGATCTGCTGGAACACTGTGGAGCTGACCATGTCTGTGTCCAGGTTGATGAGGTTGTCGTGCAAGACTAGCGACTTAAAGTAGATGCTGCTGGCAGCCAAGACATTCTTGTGGGCCCGGAAAATGGAGTTCTCCACCATGATGATAACATCACATAGGAAGCCCTTGGTCCTCTGCTGGTTCAGCTGCAGCAGGAGCTGTTTCGAGTGGCTGGGCAGCTCCATGTCGGGCCCCATGTCCCCACGCCCTGCCCACGCGTACCACCTGCAGGCAAGAACAGGCACATGCATGTTAAACTAGTGCTAGGAAAAACAAACAAAAAAAAAAAACTAGTGCCAGGGCCTTGGGGCAGGGCAAAGCTCTCAGCAGCACCAAAAAGGACCTCTACACTGACCTGGCAATGGCACCCAGACTCAGTCCTGCCCCCTTGGGCACAGTTCACAGGGTGCAGGCACTGTGCAGGCGTCACCTCACCAAGGATCCAAGTTTTCTGAGAAAAAACAAAGCAATCTCCCCTACCCAGTGCCAAGCAAACTAGGGTTTGAATTTGACTTCACAACCCAGGTACTCTCTCCACACTAAAGGAATAAATCATGGGCCCACAAGGACAAGCAAGGGACTCAAAAATGAGCAGCAGGTGGCCATGAAATTCGAAGGGCAGAGGCCCTCTAGGGGTACAGGAGCCTTTAACCAGTCCTGTCTAGGTATGCACTCACAAGGCTGGACTTCAAAACTTTCCAGACAAGCCTGAAATCCAGATATTCATGTATTATCTCTCTATGCTAAAGGTTCTTTTTACAAATATTATATGGGCCAGATCAAACATATCTATTAGCCTATGGTTGGCAACTTCTGCTCTACACTAGGGTGCCTCTCAAACAACCTTCCAAGTGGCCCAGGCTTTCTGATTTATCAAGTTCCCATTCAGCCTCCCAGACAATGGCCACTCCCTTGGCTGCTGATTCTTACAGAGCCCACCTCTACCTAGGAGAACCTCAAGTGAGCAGCCAATGGGCACTGCCCCAGCCCTGAACTTCTTAGGCCCTATACCCTTTCTGGGAAAATCAGCCTGTTTGGCCCCATCAAAAAAGCCGGCACAGGTGATAACTGAGGTCCTTAAGTAAGGAACCTAGGGCAGGTGATTTAGCTGAGCAGCACAAGCACCCACCTGATAAGCACAAAGTTGAGTCTATTCTCCAGTACCAAAAAAGTGGGAGGGCTGGGAATTTAGCTCAGTAGCATAAGTGCCCGCCTGGCAAGCTCTAGGTTGTGAGTTCAATCTCTGGTACCACACACACACATACACACACACACACACACACAAAAAAAGTGATGAGCCTGGTGTGGTGATACATATTTGTAATCCCAGCACTGAGAGCGGAGGCAAGAGGCTCACAAATTCCACCACAGCCTTGACCATTTAAGAAGACGTTATTTCAGGGGCTGGGGATTTAGCTCAGCGGCATAAGTGCCTGCCTTGCAAGCAGGCAGTCGTGAGTTCGATCCCTGGTACCGATAAAAACGAAAAAGACAAAAAAAAAGTAAAAAAAAACTTGAAAAAAAAAGAAGACATTATTTCAAAATTTTAAAATGGCTGGGGATGTGGCTTCAATCCCCAGTACCAGGGTGGTGAGGGGTAGGGGTTGAGATAAACATATAGATGCTTTTGGTCTCCATAGGAACTCATCAGCCTGTTGGTGCAGGGTTGGGGGTGAAAGGTTAGTGACCAAACTACCTGTTCTGAGCAGCCCATATGTCAAGCAGTTCTGTACAGGATAAGAGCAAAGGCAGGGAAATACAAATGTAAAGGGCCCTCCCAGGGCAAAAGGACCAAGGCTGCAATCAGAGGTACCGAGGAGAGTACCAACCTGAGGCCAACCTCAGTACCAACACATCTCTCAGCTGAGGGCAATACCACCCCACCAGCCCCATCCATCACCCCCTACTTCAAAGCAGATGAAGGGGCCATAGCTGGTGAGGAAACACCGGTGCTACATGGCCACCTGAGCCCAGCCTGCTCATAGGCTTCCATGGGACAGGGAGTCATGGAGAAGGGTGCTTTCTTCACTGGCTTACTGCTGCTGGCAATGGAGCAGCAGGGCCCACAACATGAAGTTGCTTTTTCTGTTCACTCCAGCCTCTCCAGCAATTCCCATAAACAACTCTGTCCTCTCCCACTCAGGTCTGTTCTCTGTAAGCAGCTGAACTTGTTCAAACCTCACCACTACCCAGGACTTCTTACCTTCCCAAGGCGCCCAGCCATTATCTCCCACAGCAACAGAGCCCTGGAGGGGATCATGTCTGCCACACCAGGCCCTCCTTTCCCATGACACAAATGTTATCCACAGCCCCCCATCTGCCGGTTTTTTTTTTTTTTTTTTTTGCAAACAGAAGGAGAAACCCTGTATCACATGTACCCCAAAGTTCCAAAGCTCACTATCAATGAGCATGGGTTGACACTAAAAGCTAGCACTCAGCACTGCACAGTAAGCACCTGCTATACCTGCCTCTCGCTTTGAGAGAGGACTTGGCTAAGCCAGGACAGGCTAAATTTTAGGAACCAACACTCCTCCATTTCTTGTGCTCCATCAGCCTTTCAGGCACGAAGAACCCAACGTGTGTGCCTTTCAGGACAATACCAGGGACAGCTCTGCCAGCCCCCAGGGCACCTGGTTCCCCAAGCTTGGCAAGAGGACAAGCAAAGAGGAGGGAAACCAGTGGGCCCACAGCAGGCCAGGCTAGGGCAACTGGCCCCAGACTTCCCCCACACTGTCCAGTACTGGGCGCACACAAAGGATCACTGGCCAGACCAGAGCTGCAGGGTTGCACAGAAAGCCCCAGGGACAAGGAGTAGACATATATCCTCCCTCCTCCAGGGCTCCCCCTCAGCCTACCGGAGTGCCAGGGGCCCAGAAACCATGTGAGCAGCAGCCAGAGGGGACAACCTCCTTGAGTGCGTGGACTTCCTGGGGGTGCATCAATGCCTGGTCACCTGGGGAAAAGAAAGATGGTTACTCAGACAGGCATCAGCTAGGAAGGGAGACAGAAGGAGGGATGAAGAGGGGACTATGAAGGAAAGAGGAACAACTAGTGATCCTGGATCCCTCACTCCTATAAAGGTCAAGGATTCTATATGGCTCAGGACACCCAGGGGCTAACAAGCAGGAGACAGTGGCACAATGACCCATAGTCAAACCCAACAGCAGTGAAGGCTGAGGAGCCCAGGAGCAGATCTGAAAAGCTCAGAGGGCACTCACTGCTTTCCCAACATGTACCCGGGAGATTTAAGATACCCTAGGGGCCACCTAGGCTGGGGGAACTGGTGGCAGGCACACAATTTCAGGCAGGCTGCACAGAGGTGGCAGGAGGCCTGGGCAGGCCCTTCCCAGGCTGGCCACATTTACATAACAAAAGGTCAAAATTGGAGCCACTTGTGCAAGGGCTATTTATAAGAACCAGTCTCAACCGCCTCTGGCTCCCCTGCCTCCTTCCCTCCCAGATCTTCTCTTCCCTAGAGGGCCCAGCCCCCTCCTGCCCAGCCTGACCACATGGCCTCCCCTTCTCTAGAGGTTTCACTGCCTGAGGGCTTGCCCCTGCTGCAGGCTGGCCTTTCAATACTAGTCTGCCAAAGCAGCTGGCAGCTGCTGCCAGATGAGTATAGGCCTTTATTCCCCCAGAACTCTAGGTGCTGCAGGAGGGGGATCTTAAGGTTCTGGATCTCTGCACCTCACTCAAGAAGCCTGGGCTTCCTTGGAAGAGAGCCATTGATGGGGGAAGGGGCTGCAACAGCCTGGAACCCATCCCTACCCACCCCTCCTCCACCCAACCCCCAGGGCCAGGGAGGCTCAGCAGGTCCCTCAGGAATGTGACCAGACCCGGGTGCCGGCCTGAGGCTGAGAGGCCTCAGCTTCAGGCTGCCAGCTGTCTCTCCAGCCCCTACCCCAGCTTCCCTCTGATGGGGCAGAAATGTAGGCGGGGTGGAGGGTGGGGCAGAAAGAGGAGTATATGGTTGGCTCAGGATCCCCCAAAGTCCCAAGGGGCAGCAAAACTAGCTCTGGTGATAAAGAACCAAGAACTCCACATTCAGTGAGGACCAGGACCAGGACTCCTTACCCAACAATAGGTAAAAGACTTTGTCAAGAGGCAGAGAAGAGCCCAGTCTTGGAAGGGTACACAGGCCACCAAAACACTGGTGAAGACAGACCAGAAGGAATGACAGGAAGTCATAGGTGGCATGGGAGCCAGTCACCCACTAGGAATGCTAGGCCAACCCATCTGCTCCTTGCCTGGCTCCCCTCATAACTCCAGGTTCCCCAGAGCCCTGGCAACATATTGGTTCGGTGACCTCTGCCTCAATGCCCACAGACCCTACAACCAATGGTTACCCACACTCGACAAGGGTATGTACATTAAAGAATGGGTGACAACAGGATTCAGGGTCACCTCAAGGGTGGGAATGCCCTCCCAAAATACTGCCCTACCTTGCCTGGCATTTCACCAACCCAGCTTAAGCTAAGGGCAGACCAAAGCAGGTGATCCAGCTGCTATCCACCCCCATCCCAGGCTGGGTCAGACATGACTCCCAGCAGAACAGAGAGGGGCTAACCTCCCCTTCCCCTCCTTCCAAAGGGTTGGGGTAGGGTACCCAAGCCCAGCTGAGCACCCTGTTGAGAGCTCACAAAAGCACAAGGCTCTCCCCTACCTGCCATCCACACCCAAAGGAGCCCAGTCTACCTACAAGTGAAAATGGATCCTCACTAATAAGGGGGCCACACCCAATCCTGTTGTACCCTACAGCTTCCAAGGCATTGCTCTTTTCTTCCCAACCCAAATGACAAGACAGCCAGAGATGCCCACCCTCCCCACTCTTTACCAGGGACTAACCCTGGAGAGGTCACACCTAGGGGAGTGCCAGGGACATGGAAACATAGTTGTAGGTGCCTGTCCAGGAAAAGCCCAGTATAAAGGCTCCTAACCTTGGCAGGTGCCAGGAATAAAAATACAGGCTGCTACCCAGCAGCCACTGTAAGAAGACTCCAGCAGTGTGGCTATCAGCCCAAGGACAGAAAGACCAGCCCAGGCCACTGCTGGCCCAGAACACTGGCTCCCAGCATACCCAGGATCTGAGGCAGTAAAACAGCAAGCCTGGACTCTCAATGCTTAGCAGATATTCCTTGAGGGCTATGGCCTAGCCCAGTTGTGGTGAATCTATGGCATGCATGCTTCAGTAGGCTGTATCACTGAAGATTCACCATCATTGACCTACTCCTTCCCAAGGAACAAAACTTTCTTCAGGAGTGGCATAAAAATGGCATCCCTGGTTGGGAACCCCCAGCTCCTGGTTCCTTGTGGATAGACCCCAGAGATGGATCTCAGAAGAGCCCAATGCTTACCTGTGAACAAAAAAGCCTGGTTTACTTTCCCAGGCCCCTATTTGACCTTGTTGATGGTCAACCCTTGTCATGTAGAGAGGGCACCTTTTTCCCCCTCCCTACCTTTATTATGGGAAGCCTCCACTCCAATAGCAGAGCACTGAGATACCTTTCAACTACTGGCAACACATACCAAGGGGAGGTAGCTCTGTAGAGCTAAGTAAGGCTGTGAGCCTTCGGAGGCCCCCAGAGGTCCCTGTCCACCCTCCCATAAAGCAACCACTCTGAAAGATCTGGCCCCACCCAACCCCGCAAGGCCAACCTTGGGAGTACACAAAGCCAACAGCTAAATGAAGTACTCTTTACAGGATGGGATCATCAGAAACCTACAGTCTCTGGGCAGATGGTACATATCACTCCACTAACAAGTCAAAATTTAAGTGTATATAATCCTTCAAAGAAAAAAAGATAGGGCCTGCCTGGTAAGCGCAAGGTTGAGTTTGATCCCTGGTACCCCCCCCCCCCGCAAAAAAAAGGACAGCTGCACAAACACAGATGAATCTCACAGTCACAAGCTCTCATAAGCGGAAGAAGCTTTACCTAAGAGTAGACATAGCTTGACTCCATTCATATCAAGATGTGGACCAGGCAAAAACAACCCAGGAGAAACCAAATTAGAGAAGCCCGTAAGGGCTGGGCTGCACTGCGCTGAGACACTAGAGAAGAGGAATGTTCTGGGTCAAGGGCAGTTTTATTCTGCTAGGAGTCCAGGTGAAATTGAATGAATGCACCCTTCAAAGTTTGTTAAGGGCATTCTACTTCACTGTGTGTAAATCTCACCTTAAATGAAATCAACCAACCAATCACCAAGGACAGCTTTTCACAAGACGTTCCCAACTCGGTAGCTCAGCCTTCCCTTCCCTTCTCTTCCTGGACACATCAGCTACCATTTACTGGGCAGCACTGTTTCCCTTGCCACACTGCCCTTTCTGTGCGCTTCATTCTTTGACCCTCATGGACTTAGTGACTCAGAAGCCTGTCTACTGCCTTCTCCACGTAACCAAGTGGAGAAGACCTTCAGTTTGTCTGAGCCCCACACCAACACCCACTCACCTCTCACCTCCCCATAAGAGAAGACCCACGTTAGGTCAAGTACAGCTATGGGCATGAGTACCTTTCCTGTTGCTGCTTTCCAGCCCACCCATGATGCCAATTCAGGATTCAGGATTCAACTCCCAATGAGAGAACCCAAGAGCACATGGAAAGCTGCTCATGTGAGCAAAGCAGCCAGTTCCTCTAGCTTCTTCCTGACTGAACAGCCCTCACTGTGCCTCCAGAAGTCAATCAAAAGTCCAGGCCCAGGACACACTCCAGGTCCACCTACTTCCCCATGAACCCTTGATCCCTGAACCTACCCCCTAAAGACATACCATGTAAACAGCCAAGGAAAATGACAGAGCACAAAGCATGTGGCTTCCCCAATTCACCTCATAGCCTCCAGACTTTCTATTAAGGGACTCACCCACCCACAATACCCTGGGGAGAAAAATCCCCCAACTGTGCCTACCTCTGCCCCCAACTGTGCCTACCATGTCTACCTCTGCCAGTCAACATGGCCTCAGGGGCTGGTGAGGACTGGTCCAGGCCTCCTCCAAGTTTCTCTTTCCAATAGGCAGAAGATGATGCTATGGCTCAGCATCTCTCCAAAACCATGAAAGAGGAGGAATGCAATTCTTGCTTTTGTGGAGAACTCCACCCCCAAACCCCGATTCCCATGAGTACCACCCTACCTCAGCCTGGACGCCAACCTTGCCCAGAACCTTAAATGTCACAGACTTCCCACTCCTGAACTGCTTCAATTATTGGGCCTCCCTGGAGTTCCCCCTGGACACCAGGCTGGCAGTCTTTCATGAGACAAAAGCATACCCATCAGGCTACCAGTAAAGACCAAGCTCAGGGCGTGGTTTCAGGCCACATGATACTTCTCACCCTTCTCCCACTCAATGCTTGATCCCTGAGGCAGGAATGAGCCCTCCTGGAGGCTACTGCGGGCACCTGGGCTGGAATTTGTCCTGCCTCATGGTCAACCAAGAGGCCTGGTGAAAAGTTAAGGGGAGGAAGGGGGCCCTCCCTGAAGAGGCCTCCTACTCAGCCTCCAGCACACTGTCTCATCTTACCTCCCTCCCTGGTAACCATCCCTCACTTCCTCACAGGGGAACTTCCTGCTGAAGGCCTGGCGGATTAAGGAGAGGCTCCTACTCAGTCCTCCCTCAAGAAACCACACAGACAGCACTTGGGAGGCTGAGGCAGAAGAATCACTTGAGACCAGCCTGGGCTACAAAGTAAGCTCACAGCCAGCCTGAACTGCAGAGTAAGATCCTGTATTGAAAAAAGCCCCCTCCAAAAAGACAAATGGAGAGGGCTGCCTCCAGAAGGGAATGCCTCCCCAAAAGTAAGAGTAAAGCAGAAAACCTCTGCTGGTACTCAGACAGATAAGAGTAATAAGCATCACTGCCATGCAGAAGGGCTAAGAGTACAGCCACCAGGCTGCTTCCATTCCCAGAGATTTAAACACAGCTGACTACTGTCAGAGAGGACCATGAACATCCACTGCTAACTC